TTACATTGTGGTGACCAAAACTGGATGCGGTACTCCAAGTGTGTCATTACCAAGGCATTATAAAGTGGTATTAACATTAACACTTGATCTTGATTCTATCCCTCTGTTAATCAGCTTTTTTGGCAGTTGTAACACATTGTTGGCTCATATTTAAGTGATTGCCCGCTAGGACTCTAAGATCTGTCTCACAGTTACTACCACTGAGCGAGGAACCACCTATGCTGTACCTGTGCTATGGTTGCTATGGCTTATGAATCGATTCAACATTCCCTTTCCTTAACTGATCAGCCTTTTCCTAGTGAGTGGCTTGTATTTCACATGGAATGGATTACAGCTTCCACCACTTAGAGTCAGTGGCTACATTGGGATTATTAGTCAATGTATTTGAAAAATACATTGGAAGACAAAACTGGAAGACAATGGGAAGAAATTTTTACTGCAGCTCTTCAGTTGAATATGTGAAACAGGAAAGATAACAAATGATTGGCTAAAGTAAAGTTTTGTGACATCCCCAATGCAAAGAAGGGTACTGAATACAGAACAATAAGCTTAATAAATCATGAAAATATTCCTGAGAATAATTCACACAAGAATATACAAAAAAATTGAGGAACGTTTAAGTAACACACAATTTGATTTCTGAAACAATCTTGGTACATGTGATGACCTATTCAGCATTCAAGTTCTTGCCCAGTTGTAGAGATGTCAATCACAGTGTTTACATGTGATTCATTCATTTTGAAATAGCAGTTGAAAAATGAAACACAACAAATTATTAGAAATCCTGAAACAAGTGGGACTAGATGACAAAGATATACGAATCATAAAGAATTGATATTAGCATCAGGTAGCAAATGTGAGACTAGGCTGAAAATACTCAGATGATGCTGAAATATGAAGAGTGGTGAAATGGGGCTGTATTTTTCTGTAGAATCGAGGGAGGGGTTACACAAGAGTATAGTCAAAGCCTGATTGGTCCATAGACTGAGAGAATTTTCTTTAATATTCCACCATTGCCCATTGGCTCCCAGTTTCCTATCAGTCTTTTGGTTCAAGCACTGCTTTGGCTCCTAGGTAGGAAATATTTCATAATTCCTTTAAACATTTAAGAAATTAATTTGAATAATTGACTATACCCATGTGTAACCACTCCCTCTATTCTACAGATGAGTCAGGTTCAGGTAAGGATAAGGTCACCAGATGTCCTGCTTTTGGTGGGACAGTCACAATTTTTAATAATTTGTCCCGTGTCCCGTGGCGTATTCAAAAAGTCCCAATTTTCCAAAAGAAAGAAAATCAATTTTAAAAAGGACGCCATTAAAAACAAAGTTTTTATTTCTCTGAAGTGTTGTTCTCGATGTGGCCTTTAGATGGCAGTGGTTTTCCTCCCTCCCCTCCTGCGCATGTGCGTGCCAACGCATGCTGTTTTTCTGCAGGGAGAGCGATGGTAAGGAAGAGGGTCGGTCCCGGGCCAAGCGGCTCAGCCGTCAGAAGTTTTTTTTTTTACCTGCTTCTCTCTGGTGCCGCTCTCCCTGCAGCCATGCTGTGCAAGCCACTGTCAACCTGGTCTGGGTGAGCCAAGAGGAGGCAGGCGGGGATCAGGTTGGGAGAGGCTGGCGATGGGGGTGGCTTTTGAAAGGGTTGGGAGGCGTGGGGGAAGGCAATCGGGGGAAGGCTGCTTTGCAACCGCCAGCAAAGTCCCATCCCCCCCTGCTCTTGCCTTTCCTTCTGCTTGCTCCATCCCAGCAGAGGCTGAGCCCGCCTCTTATTTGGACCTCCTGCATCCCCCCCCAAATGGAGCACCCCATTTCAAGCAACAAGGGACGCCAAGCAGGGCAGGGTTGCAAACACCCCTTCCCTCCAAGGCTGTAGGCGAAAGCTGCTCTCCAGCATCCCGTCCTGTCCCTGCCTTCCCAGACCCAGAGCCATCTCTGTGGAGG